AAACAATGCAACGTGATCTGTTAAAAAAAAGTAAAGCGTTGCCAAAAAATCTGTTCAGATGCATTTGGAAAAATAAGAAGAGTTGAAAAGAAACAAATACATTATCACTCAAAAGTTCAATTCGGTAAATTGCGAAATAATATGCGAAGACGAAAAAGGAAAACCATCAATGGTGTTAAGATATAAAGACAAGCGCATTTATTAACATTGGTAAGATTGCATGATTTCATTTATTGTAGCACTTAAACTCATGCTAAAGTAGATCTAATAGAATAGCCAATTGATGATTTAGCTTCTTATGTGTATAATTATTAGGTTAAGAGTGTTTCTGTTATATAGCTATGGCGAGTAACTGTCAAATTGTCCTTATAAATGATTTCAAAATGTAATAAGGAACGCACACCTCGACCAAGACGCAAGTTCAAGATATATAGGCCTTCACTCTTACTTAGTTAAGCTGAGCGGATGGGCTGTTTAATATTACATAATGTAAAGTCAAAACATTTACAGAGACATAAACTATAATATCACCATCGCATAGGTTATATATAAGATTTTATAATTCATAATTTCGTATGAAAAACATAAAATATTTAAACCACTTTTGTGTCTCGAGCTAGGTCACAGCCCCGCAAGCATGATCTAATTTTCCGATAACACCAACGTGAAAAGCATAAAAAGTTGTTGCAAATTAGCTGTCAGACTAAAAGATTTACTATAGTTATATACATCGATGTCTGATTGCCATTTACACATTGTATACTAACCGAAATACGTATAAATAACACTGTAGTTCTATATCACAGACGTTCATCATATATGTGTCTGCATAAAATTTGTTATTACGCTTTGTTCTTAACGACAACTTTCTCTCTTCAAATCCGGTAAAAGTTGATGGGTTTTCTTATTAACTTGTCGTCATGATCAATGTGCTTTTTACGGGACCTTAAAGTGTTACGGTTATACATATAACACTCGAATAACGCTTTGTTATAGTCACATTTACACATGTATATTCCCCGTATATCCCAGCAGCAACTTTTATAGCTTATATTATACAATGTAGCTTATATTATCTTCTATACTCTCCCATATACTGTATGTGTAGAAATATTCGCGGGCTTCAAATTTTCGCGATCTTCGCGGTGACATTCGATCCGCGAATTCATGTTTAGTGCTAATATTTCTACACCAATAATTTCTTAATAGTCATATTTTCGCGATTCTATAGAACAATGTATGTCAGAGTGTGATATGCTTTCACACTTTTTATTTAAATGTTAACTGAGTAATTGTGTTTTGTTTCCTAAGATATTCATCATTTAAAATAGTTTATTATGTTTTTTTGTATTGTTTGTTTAGAAAAACGAAAACATGATCTGATCAGATGTCAAGACGTTTATAACGCAAACTGTGAAAAATTATGCACTTAACGGGCATTCTTTTGTTTGCTATAATCTGTCCGCTAGAAAATGTTTTTTTCTGTACAATAGCGTACTGTTTGACACCTGGTATTGAAAATACGTGTGAACTCCCACGATGATTACAGTTATTTTCCTTATTTTCTAACCTGAGTGGTCAACGCGAATTCATGATTTTCGGCAGTCACCTCCGCGAATTCAAAATAGCGCGAATATTTGTATAGACCCCCCCCCCCCCAAAGTAGACCTTTCCGCGAAAAATTGCAACCGCGAATTTAAATACACATACAGTATCCGGATAAGTTAAATTTGATGTAAATATACACACGGCCGATATTCAAATTAGCAGAAAACTACCTTCAGGCAACGGATAATGCCCACCAATTTGAAGAGTTTTGAAATTAACCAGGTTCAATCTGTTCTAAAAGTAAATATTTTTAAGTTATTGATTTATATAGTACCGGTATGCCATATGATTATCTACTCTGTCCTGGAGCACATGATTTACATTTTATGGTGATAATGTTTTGTTTGTTTATGTTCTTGTTTATTTCATATAGGTGACTAGTATTATCACTTTAAAAACGTTATCATGTATCATTAAGTTTTTCTGTCGGTAGATGTATTTACAATTGTTAAAAGCTCTCTCTAAAGTTATCGTTTTGCTGAGTACTCTTCTCAAATTTACACTGTAGCTCAACATCACTAAACAAAACTTCCACTGTGTTATATGATGAACATGGAAAGAAGAGTTAAAGTGTTTTAATTTGTATTCCAACAGTATTCAAATGTGAATTTGTTTGTAAGATATTTTGGCTTTTGAGGGTAAAAAACGAGATTTTAAGATAAAAATGATTACTTCATGTTAAGCATTCACTACGTCATGCATTAGTTGGTCAATTTCTGGCAACGTTTTCCACTTTTAAGAAATGAATTAGATCATAGTACTTTAATTTGATAAAGTGTTAAAGCATGACTATAGGACTCAACTCGAATAATTGCTCTTTTACGTTTTCAACATGCGGAATAAACGATTTCAGCTTGATGATCACGATAACAGCTTAACGAATTCACGATCTAACTTCCGGAATTCACGATTTCAACTTCATGAATGTACGATTTCATCTTCACGAATGCACGACCTCTACTTCATGAATTCACGACTTAAACTTTATGAATCAAAGTTAAAAGCGTAATTCATGAAATTAAAATAATAATTTCATGAAGATGAAATCATGAATTCATGAAGTTGAAATTGTGAATTCCCGACGATTAAACTTTGAATTCAAGCAAATGAAATGGCGAATTCAAGAGGTTGAAATGTCCCGATCGGTCTTTCGTAGAAATACGTTTATTCATATTTGATAAAGTTCATCGATTTCAAAAAGTTTTCACAAAAGTAACTCATAGCAGTAAATGAATGCATGCATGGTTGCAGATAAAGCATGTGATCGTTTAAAATATATTGTGTTACGTCCACCAAGATCTATGTAACCAATCAATGATTTTAAACATGTAGTATCTAGTTTTAATCTGATTAAACATTTTGGTATCTTACGCACGTGATTTCAGAGTTGTGAGCCTACGTTAAACAGGAATATTTTGTTGTACATACCACATTCAGTGCAATATATGAATTTTTAGGTAGGTTTTTTTTGTTAACATATTTATTATCGCTTGTTTCTAGCATTGGCATTTAAAACATATTTCAGTGACTTATCCTTCTCTACTTTTTTCTCTTTTTTGTCTGTTCGTATTGTAATAAAACTTAACTGTGGAGATGAAGAGAAAATATCATACTAGTATGCGTTGAAACCGAACTGGTAAAATGCATGTCTGACCTCTATAAACAATGTTTACAATGTCATGTCCTGGTTCAACTGAAAGTCAAAAACAAAGTTATCAAAAATCAGGGCCGTCATGGTTGTTGATGTTTTATCTCATATATCCGAGATGTTTTCATCTTCGTGATTTGTTTAGATAATGATTATAATTGCATCCTGTACCTTGTACTCTGCTTTATGAAACAGTCTAAGCTGTTTCTCTGGTAGAAAGTACATTTGCAGAAATGATTTTTTAAGTATTATCGTGAAAATGAAATCCATTTGCCAGTTTATAACATATGTAAATCATGTTAGCAAAGAGAAGTTTGGCTTTAGAGTGTAAAATAAAGATATTTTAAGATAGATATGAATCACAAAGTTTTAAATAATATGTACATGTGAACGCCTTTGCTATAATTTAAAACATGAACCCTTGCAATACTAGCATAGGCAAAAAAGCCTTTTCTAAAGACATGAATCGAAACAAGGCAATATATATGTAGAGTTAATTCAATAAAGTCTAAAATAATCTTACCTAAGTATTGATGTTTTAAAAATACTATAATCGCGTATTCAGAAATAAACTTTTAAGATATCGTGTCGCTTTTCTACGGAAGTATTGGGGCAACTTTTTAATACTGCCACACGACACTTGACAATGCAATTTACAGTCCAAATTTTGTAATGGATGTGTGTCATGTAAAAAATGATTTACTAAGTTTTTTCCCTTTGTGTTGTCGATCATGAAGAAAAAAGAGATCGTTTTATCTAAAGTATTGTATACCGCTATTTGTGTTAATGTCTATAAAATCATGTAAGTGAATATCGTATTTTAGCGTAAATATACGCTATTACCAGAGGGCGTTTAAAGCTTAATAAGTTTCAAGTTTTGTGAAAATCAATTTATTTGCATGAGAAAAAATGACCTTAAATATTTAAATTTAAACTGACCATGCTTATTTCATACATTTATGATAAAGTAAGCGGGGAGACTTTTCCAAAAGGAGTTATTTAGGAGTGTTTCTCCTGCACATAAAAAGCCAAAACTCCTCAAGTGTAATTAAATTATCAGAAAAGTTGGGGCGTGCATTTGATTTAACAGTTTTTATTAAAACAAACATGAAATGAAAAGAAAACTTTAAAAACTATATAAGCAGTGGTGAAAGTGAAAATGATGTTAAAGTCAATAACTGATGACGATCAATGGATCTCAGAAAAATAATTATAACAAAGTTTGAAGTTACATCCACTTTAACCACAGCTTGCCGGAATTCAAGACTTGTATACTAATCACTTTACCACTACGATTTTGAATTTTATTTCTCGCACAATCTGTGGTCATTTTTTAAGACGTGTTAAACAAAAAATATTGAACGATAAAAACAAAGGTTAATTGATTTGGTCGGTACACATTTTTCGTGATACCTAATCATTGGCACATAGAAATATATTTTGGTTGTTTTTATGACAATCCATTAGTGATTACCAACTACTTAAAATGCTAATTTGCCAATCTTTATTCAAACGGTTAGTTGTAGGGAAAATGTAAAATTTCCATTGTTGTTTTAAAGTTTGTATTCTTCTTCAAAAAAGTAAACAATAATCCACATTACTCATCAAAAATTCTATACATATCCTTCGGATGTAATCTTTGTTCATTAAACACAAAGAGGGGCAGTCTTACTAACAAAAAAAACAATTGGCATATTGTGTATAGACTGACCTTTTATTAAAGTGTGTATCGAACATTTTTCAGCGGCGGAACAATGTGAGAATAGTTTTAAGCCAGGAACACAGATATTGAAGAATATGAGTGACGTACCCTTCCGACGATTCGATTTTTAACATCTTTAAAAGGTGGAACGCTAGACTTAAGGTAAAAGACACAGTTTTGCCATCTATTCAATTGAATATTTTCGAGTATTTCTTTTTTTTTTTTTTTTTTTTTTTTTTTTTTTTAAAAAAACATGTTGAAAAATGGTAGATTATTTATGACATGTCATATTTTATCCAGCCAGGCGCCACTCGACCGAGAAAATACGGAAAACTGATCACTTTGTCGGTCGTATTTTCGTGTTTTCGTATTTCGCCAGACAAAATCAGAAAAAAGCAAGAAAATACCACAAAGCGACGCGATCACATTTCGTTTTATCATCTTTCTCTTCGCGGGGGACCATACATCAATATGACCACTTTGTTGTACTTCCGCTCTGTCCGACGCCTGATGAAAACTTGAAAATACGTTGTTTACCTGGCGACCCATAAAGTAAAAATACGGCATGGCATAAATCAGTCACCATATGCATATAAATGTTTGATGCTTTATGAAGGCTATTGTGGATTTTATGTATTGGTTTTTGTATTATGCAATACTCATTCGTTTACATTATACGCTACCCTATATAGTAAAGAAAGTGTACAAAAATGAATATCATATATCGCATCAATTGAAAAGTATTGCAAGTATTAGTATTACCGACTGTCATTGACTCTGGGGCAATTTTTGTCCGACTAAACTATAAACCTTTAATTAAATCTTTCTTCAGAAATTGCATATTATGATTTTTAACTCAGGTTTCAGCTTGCAGATTCTTTGTTACATGATTCTCACGATAATTGTCATACAACCTCGTATTGTGCACTGTGTGTTTACTTTTATAATGCAAATGCATTAACAAAGTTTATATCTGCATAAATGAATTAAAATACGAACCAACTGGTAACATTTTAGGTCTCTTAAATATCTTAAGGTGAAGTATGAAATTCATAAATGTATTAATTGCAGTACAAAAACTTATATCTATTTTAACCGTAGATGTTAACAGCTAGCTGTTCAAAGCTCTTTGAATTGTTATGAATCATGCATGTTTAAAGGAGTTTTATCACGAAAGTTCATCGCATTACCATTTAAATATTAATAATACTGATCACAAACATTTAAAAGACACTCCCCATGCACAGACTTAAATGCATAAAGGCAGCATGACAATACTTTAAGTGGGAATTGTGTTCAGGGGATAAAAAAAGTCCGATAGATTTTTTATCAGCTGCACGTTCATATTGTGTATCTTATTTAATCTGATTTGATAATTCTCATTATAAAAACACTCTATTAGAGAACGTGCAACATCTTTAAACCATAAGACACTTTTGCTTAAAAAAGGGAAAAAGAGAGAGTAGGCATTTACTTTATATTAAGGATTGATCACATAATATTATGTAAAGTTCATTGTCTAAGAACCATAATTCTCTTTCTTTTATTTTGACCATATTTTAACTTTTAACTTTTTTTGTCCATGGTATAGTTAAAATACTATTGAAGATAATAAAATGGTATTTTACATAAAATGCGTACTGTATCAGACCCATACATAATTGGACTTTTATTTCCATGTAATACAAACGTTAACGACTACAAAAGAACTCCATGACGTATTTTGACATTAGATATTTTGTCATTTTTATCAATAAAATTAGAAAATAAAGTATTTAGGCCTTATTATGAGGTCTTTTTATCATGATACTTTTGCAAGGTACAAGGTGCAGAAGATAAGTTTAATCAAATTATATTTGGTGGGGATATCAATTCAACAAATATGCCTGCAGATATTGCACTTTTTTGAGCCAATTGAACAGCATTTGACACAAAAGAATTTTAAATGCCATTAGATAAAATCTAAAATTTAATATTGCAAATCATAAACGTTTTAACATAATTTTTTAATCATCGTTAAATATAATGAAAGTGTCCATATCCATGATTTGTAGAGACAATGGGCGTTGATATTCAAACATACAGAGCAAGAATTGGCACTTACACGCATTCCCGATGTGATGAAACTATTGGGAACTACAGACAGTCAAGTGGTTGTAATGTTGCAGTCACTGACATTTATGTTAGCAATGGCCTGAAAACTGTTGGTTGTGTGTTTTTCATTTGCGTTCTTTTAATAATTGCTGGTATTGAACAAAACCCTGGTCCGGTGGAAAAAGGTAAATATTTGCACATACAGACACACACAAACACATGTATATTACAGTGATATTTTTAGAGTGTTCATTACTGATACTGGTAATTGCTTTAAGGCCAGGAAAATTAGAATTTCTATAGAATTTCTAAACATTCTAACATATGTTCTATACAAAGATATCAAGTTATCAAAGTTGTAAACGACTCTCGATATTGAGTCCCTAACCGTAATAATAAGTAGTACATTTCCAGGACTGTCTTCACGTTTATCATGTTCACTTTGCACTAAGACCTTTTTCTATTGTTTGTATGGAGTATTCCCCAAAACCCAAAAGAGAAATTAAATTAAGCGTAAATTTAATATGCTGAATGTATTTGTATTACGTAAATTTCATATTTAATCATTCACTATGTATGCAGTTTATACCTTAAAAGGTTCTGAATGTTGCCAGAACGATGAGGTAGATGGAGTTGTAAAAGGCGCAGAGATGAGGGCAGATGGTATTTGTATAGTTTTAAATTTTATACGTTAAATGAATGTTTACATGCACTTTAAACATTTACATATTATTATATATAACACATAATCATACAACTTGTTCCATTTTAGCTCACCTGAGCAAAACATGCTCATGGTGAGCTATTGTGACACCATCTGTCTGTCTTCGTTCGTCATGTGATCTGTATTGCGCGTCGTCAACATTTTCTTTATTTAAAAACAATATTTTTTTTAAACAAATGTGATATCATCTATAGGTCCTCTACAAAATTATGCCCGTAGTGTAAAATTCTTCCCCATCCCGGGGATCATAGGTTTTCCTAATATGTATAAAGAAACGACAATGGCTAGAAGTAAAATAGTTGGCATGAATAACTGTGTAGTGAGCCTCTACAAAGTTTTTTCAAATTATTTAGCCATGTGTCAAAATTCACAGGGACATTGATTTTCATTATGTACATAAAGTAAAAACATAAACATTCTCCTCTGAAATAACAAAGGCTTAAGCTAAGATAATTTACTTGAAACATTGTTTAGTGGAACTCTATTAAATGTTGTTCAAATTGTTTCTGTTATCTCAAAATTGAGCCTGCATCGGGGAATATAATTGTTTCCTTATAAACATAGAGTAAACTTGTTTTTAAATCCTTGCCCTCTGAAATGATAATGTCAAGAGGCTCGGTATTTGACTAAATCATTGTATTAGTGGATCTCTAACACGTTTGTACAAATTAAAGCCTTGTGGTCAACATTGGTCCTGCCCAGGGGCGATAGTGATCTCATTTTTATGACCCCTTCGAAGAAGAGGGGGTATATTGTTTTGCTAAAGTCGGTCGGTCTGTCCGTCGGTAGACCACATAGTTCCGCTGATTATCTTGCAAATGTCTTCATATAATCACTATAAAATCAATAAAACTGAACATTTTATCAATCAATTCAGTTTTGTAACTGATAAATTCATTTTATCATATCTGACAACTCTTTCTATTCCTGGCAATACTGCCTAATTATGTCTATCGCTTACTATAAAGGGGACAACTCTAAAGTAAAATACTGATATAAGTAATACGATTAATCTCCCTTTGAAAAATCAATACTCTGAATTGCCGAAAATACCTTTCCCGGACTTACATCGAGTATAAAAAAGTTTATTTGTAGGCAAATCTATCCAATCCTTAACGCTAGACATAAATTTCCGGTTTGACATAGAATAAGCCAAAATACAGCTGATTTCCAGCAAGGCACGACAATAACACCTTTTGTTTTATCAAATTTCATTTTTGACAATACTCTGTATTATTGAAATTGGTGGGACAAAATATCTGAAATCATTGCCCCAAAACTTTGTGAATGCGTCTACCCCTGCAGAAGACGGATTTCAAAATCTGGAATAAAAACGATCTATTTTCGCATAATTTTCGGAAGCAAACCAGTCTATCTCAAATTGACCAAAACGTGTTTGCAATAAATCGAAAGTTTGAGAGGCAAGTACCCAATCGTTAAAATCTAAAAATTTTTATGAATAATCAGCTTGATCATTCTTCGATTCTTTGACCCATTCTATTTTTGTTAGAAAACGGTTTAGGTAGGGACAACAATGTTACTGTCAACGTCTAGTGATGTCATTTAGCTTCAATTTGATATACAATTGACTTTGCAATTTTTACTTATACTGGAATAATGGCATTCGGGCGATTTGACGAGTTCAACCCCTTGTCTATATATTATATAATTTATACAGTATATATTTTTTTCGAGAATTACTTTTTTACACTACCCCAACACTGTGCTGGGTCCCTGTGTGCCAGTATCATCATTATATTATTATTATTATTTTTTTTTTTTTTGGGGGGGGGGGTCCTTTCTTTTTTATCAAATTCATTCAAATATAAGAAATATTATGAATTTTTTATCATCAAAATATTAATAAATTTTGTTATCTGATAATTTTTTATTCCGGTTTTGTGGCATAGATTTCGGTTTGTAAGAAGCAAGGGAACCTATCACAATATTACATTTTTATCGATGAGATCAGGAAAATCATTTTGGTTAATTCATTTTTCTCAGTTTGTATTTCGAAGTAAATCTATATTTATAATAAATTTCAAAGCAGAACTAATATAAATTATTTAATCTTGCTTTTTACACGTCGATTTCTGTATAGCAATATATATTCCGACTAACATTAAATGGGGAAGTAATCATAATAGTATATTTTCGTCCCTAACGCAATCAATATAAATCATTTTACCGTGATTTTTGCATGTAAGTTTTATTCAAACGTAAACATAAAAACAAATTCAAATAAATGATTTGATTGTTATTATTTTAGTTTATTTCGGTTAATGAAAAAATTATTTCGGTAAGTTGCCGGAAGCGAGCTGATTTCGGTATCATAACGTACCAGCAATTTAATCATACCCCATGAATTATGGGCAACTTCTGTATATATCAGAGAAAATCAACAGACATTTGTGCATCACAAGTCCGGATAAAATATGCACTATCTAGCCTAGTTGTCGTTATATGATGATATTGTACGTTATTAGTATTTTAGTTATGATAAAAGTGATTTGTATGGGAATTTGGTTTCATTTGTTACACCTAATTGCCTGTCAGACCTCAGTGGAGTTCCTTTAATATCATTATATCAACTGACGATATTGATATTGAAAATGTCTTCTGAAATATGAAATAGGGAAGTGTATCAACGAAGACCAACTACATAATTCTATCATTTCTTAATAATTCTATTTCAAACTTTAGATACAGCCCATAAATTGTATCATGCAGAATCAACTCGACGAATAAAAATAACTGGATTAATGGAACATATGAATAAACAGATGCTTAAAATGTTTTTTGATGAAGAAGAGAGGAATGGCGGCGGAAAAGTGATAGCTATTGACATTGATAACACAAATAAATGTGCAATTGTCGAATTCGAAGACGAGACAGGTGACAATAGTTTGTAATTAAAATGTATCAGTTTGAATTGCTCTATGTATGCATTAACATTCAAATGATGTTTATACGTATGAATGCTTGTTATCAAGAATTGCATATAACAACTTCTATTTTTCATAGTTTTTGTGCTGATGATTTCTCCGTATCGTATCAGTGTATTACATTTTCAATACAATTGTTGATTTCTTTAACCATATTTTTTAAGGTGTTGATTTGATCATGAAAAAGACACCGGTGACAATATGCGGTATGCAAGTTCATATAGAGGTACCTGGTAGGTACAAACCTTAACTACTTTGGATTATTAGAACTAAATAATATCCCTCTCATCTACAAAGGTATACCTTGTTCTCATATCACGTATTATTCCATTTTTTAATATTACTTTATTTATGGTCAGCTTTGAGTTCAATGTCATATGATTACTCTAAATAACAATTTTTCATGTATAAAAACAATACGCAGTAATTAATTCATCATGTACATTCATATATATGACATAAATATTTTCAAATAAAACAGTAATGATTCGTGCATTCATTTTAAGGAGATGAAACAGAAAAGCCAAAAATGATAAAAATCTCAAAACTACCGGCTAATATAAATAAGGATATGTTGTTAATGTTCTTTGAAAACAAGATAGAGTGTAATGGAAAAGTTGTTAGCGTGACCGTGAACACTAAGGATTCGTATGCCATTGTTGAATTTGACAAGTCAGCAGGTAGGTTAATTAATCAAATTCTTTTAAAGCTTATACATTATAGGCTTTTCATTTAAGCTCAAGAATCAAAAATCATATTCCAATTATCCAACAGTTAGTTCCCTTTCATATTGCATTAGCGTGTCATATTCATAAAAATGCCTACTTATGCTTTCCCATGAGTATCTATTTTTAGAGATGAACACAATTTAATGTTATTATTGATCCAGTTTTGAAAGAAATTAAAATAATAGCACAACTCTGCAAATAAGTTATGTCTTTTGTCAAGTTAAATATGATTATGGCATATTGGCGTATTTTTTCTCTTTTAAATGTGTATTCATGTTCGGCTTTTCGGATATATACTGCACTATAAATGCACTAATGTGGTTGATAGATTTACATATAGGCATTGGTATGAAAATTGAAATAGTGAATTGGTGCCTTTATATTTCCTATATAGCTATAACACTGTTTTTCAGCTGTTTATGGAGTAATGGCTAAGCAACCATTAGCAATTTTTGGTTTTACAGTAGAAGTAGATACTTTCGGTAAGCTAGTTATTATTAATGATTCAACAAGTTATTCAAACAATGAAAGCATAAATGAGTGTATATACCACAGCTTAATAGCCAAGGGCAATCATTGTTGTTTTTTTTATGGAGTAAAGGACATTTATGCAAGATATAACATCATGCAACAGTACCTTATTAAAAACAACTGACGAAAAAGTCACAAGACTGCACGGCGGCCAATACATATCACAAAGGCGTCAACATACTTTCGATTTGCATTTATTAGTGAAATCGCAAGACACATGTGTAATTCGAATCACGCACCTCGCTATTCATGTTTCCGAACTATCTTTATCTTTTATTCATTGAAAAAAGGGGCGAGATTCCCGAACGCAGAGTAGATAAATGAAATAACATACACATTTACAACAAAACAAAATTTCTCTTGTTACATGTTCTCTCTTTATAAATGGAGCTGTGAGTTATGCATATAATACGTATACAATTCTAGTTATCGAAGTTTGAAATAATATCAGCCTTACCTTCAAACAAAATGACATTATGTTTGAGATGAAGTATGTTATACCGTGTATACCATGTGATTGGTAATATCATCTTGATGACGTAACATTAATGTAACTGTCCAAGTATGTCCGAATTGGCAGTTGCATTTTTTTCAGGACATTCTTTTAAAATGTAGATGTATGCAATTTCCATATACAAGATGCATCCGTTATTTAGCGCACTAAATATGTTGCTGTATCTTTGTACAAAGCTGAATTTGTATCAGTTCCAGAAACGTCACTTGTGAAATCACAGGATATACCGCGTATAAGAATTTCCGGATTAAAAGAGAATACAAACAAGGAGATACTCACAATGTACTTTGAACATGAAGAGAGAAAAGGCGGCGGAAAGGTGAAAAATATTGAAATGGATCAGAAGGGGACGCTTGCTACAGTTGACTTTGAGGAGAAAGCTGGTACTTTTTTATAATGCTAAAGTAATCATGTAATTGTGTTTTTGATTTTGATTTGGATACATGATTAGGAGAAAGTTCAGAAGTTTTTAAAGTTTTTTTAAACATTTTAGATTACATATAAAACAAAAAATGTGATTATTTCATGTTATTTTATGAATTATGAAACTATATCTGGTCTTGGTAAAAATTCAAAATGATGTAAACGTGATTTTCATTATTATGCAATTCAATTAAATTTAACAAATTTTGTATATCTTTGAAATAAACTTTTAACGGAGTGTTAACGTACTCTACTCTATTCGAGTATAAACTTCTGCATTAGCACGAGGATACAATTAAGCCTGAGTCCACACTATTGTTGAATATACGTCAACATTTCGTATATTGCATTAGCTTACGTATAGAATAGATTGAAGATTATAATGTGTTAGCTTAAAGGGTACCAATAAACATGTGTATACCTTTCTGTAACGATAAAAGTCAGATCATAGTTTCTTGATTTGTTACCTTGTTATGTTTGTTTGACATTGTTATTTCAGGGGCTGATGCATTTATGCTGAGAAATCCGAAATCTATACTGGGTATGGATGTCACAGTAGAAGTCATTGGTAAAACAGTTATCTTAACGGATTTTGAAGTCAGTTGTATAACACTTTATCTGCGATTTAAATTATTTTCACTTTTTTTTACAGTCTCTGTTTTGACTAACAATCTATATTTTGATAAAAGTAAACATTTACATTTTTCTAAACGGGCAAAGTCGTTTATCATATTCTTTATATCACAGGACATTCCTTTATAGAATAAAATTTACAACTTTAACCTGGCTAGATTAAATGTATGTCTTATTTGCGTTTGACTAGATATTAAAGAAGTATGGAACAACATGTAATTATGTGAAGAAATGTGTGTTTAGTGTGGTGTATGCAAGTCCGAAGGCTTATTTCCAATAGGGTCCTTTCACATACACTAACTGGAACATAAAAAAACACTCATTTGACAAACAAACATACAAACAACATAAAACTTATAAATGATACACTCATTTTGTATCTATAATCATATTTTGATTTCTCGAAATAATAAAATAGAACTATATGTTATTGAACACATATGATTATTGTAAAGAAACAGAATATAATGTGTCTGAACATTATAGTATGCTCTTGGTTCTAACAATTCATTCGACCAAACATTATAAAAGATGTATTTTTTTAATAAGTTTGGTTTCGAATTGTTCGAAATATACTTACGAAGGCAGTACATTCACTGTTAACATAAGGATAAAAGAATTGCTAACTATATTATATAAATTGAATCATATACTTTTAAATTTTAAATGAGATAATACTAAATATCATTATTTTAAATGAATTTTACACTAAAGATACATCATCTGATAAAAGTCGTGGTAAATCAACAAGAATAAAAATTACTGGCTTAGCGGAAAACACCAATAAGGAGATGCTTGAAATGTTTTTTGAGAGAGAGGAAAGAAAGGGTGGCGGAAAAGTAAAACATATATTCATTGATGGACAGAATAAATGTGCTGTAATTGAGTACGAAGACGAAACAGGTAAATTCAAAATTCATTCATTTTGCCTAGTTGAATTTGTTGAAACAGGTGTTTTGATGAAAGTATATCCTATTTATTTTAATAAAATGCAATACAAAACTACATTACTATGTCAATTAAGATACTTAAAATGCAATCGTCAAAACAGAAATGCCGAGAGTTTCTTTATTATAACGTTTGCATTTTCGAACATATGGTCATATGGTCATTGACCTTTCTTTATTTACATTTGCATTTCTTAGGTTTTGAATCGATTATGAATAAGACACCGATGACAATATTCGGGATGGAAGTGGGAATAGAGACACTTGGTTTGTATACAATCTTTTAATATGAAATATGTTATGTATTATTTTGCAAAAATGGTTTGGTTTCACCGTTATCAAAATTTGAGGTAATGAGCATAATGGTTTAAATTTATTGCTTTCCAACGTTAGAGTAATCATGTTTAAGAAATATTTACCGGTAATTTCAAAATAATTCTTACCTGTCTGTTTTGTCTGTTTTTCATGCCACCGCAGCAATGCGGTGGCATAAAGCGATTAACGTGTGCGTGCATGCGTGTGTGCGTGTGTGTGTGTGTGTGTGTGTGTGTGTGCATGCGTTCATCCGTATGTGCGTGTATTTGCGTGCGTGTATTATGTAGACCATATAGTGAACCTAAAATTTCTCTTTTTTAAACAACACTTGTCAGATTTTAATCAAGCTTGCCAGGATTATCCCTTGGGTGAAGGATTTCAAGGTATAAGCGGGGTAAAGATGCCAGACAATCGCTTGTGGTTAACCACTGCGTTTATTCGCCGGTCCTATTGCGCTTTCAAGGCGCTCCTGTTGCGTCGTAAGAGATGCTACTGAGTTACTACGGCGATCCAACTGCGTTCATTTTAGAACGCCGTGTGACGGCGTTTGTTTTGAGCATTCTCAAAATGCGCGCAGTCAGTCGGCGTTCTGTGCGATGTCACTACGATGCTACGACGATGTTTGCGATCTTAAGCCCCAGCCACATTAGAGTTTACGACCAGTAAAGACCAGTTTACGATCAGCAGTAACCATTTGTCGCGGACAATCTTTAAAACGTCTTACGACGGTCATTGGTGATTTTCGATAGTCGCAGGTTATCTTATTAAGGCCCACGACCAATTTCAGTCGTAGAGAGGTTTTTGAGCTTGCAAAAAAACCTCTCTGCGATCAAACAGGTTGCTAGTGATCTTGTAAGGTCTTAGGCTGTCGCACGATCGTCGCTCGAAAGTGCGACAATCTTACGACAGTCTTTACAACTTGCCACTAGTCACTGATAATCTTCAGTAGTCTTTAGTATCGTGTGATGGTCGTACGACAAGTTGTAGGTGATCGTATGACAGGTCACGGGAAGTCGTAAGTAATCCCAGGCAATCTTGAGACCATCGTACGTTTGTTGATGACCTGTCGTGCGATTGTCAATGATGATTGGTCGTTCGAAAATCGCAGAAGTGAATTTATCTGTTCAAAGAGGGCTTGGTCGCAGACAATCGCCGATGATCGTCGGTTTTACACGTCGCCAGTAGTCGCAAGAGATCGTCAGATTTAGTGTGACTGGGGTTTTACTGCGCTAACCTCGGGGTTCTGAATTTTCTTTGGACACCGTGAGAACGCCGTTCTAGTGTGACAGGGTTTTATACAGTAAATAACTATTTTGGTCAAGTAATTTTTATGTTTTATTTTTGAATAAATTATTGCCCTACAGCTTTTATATCTTATCATTAGACACATCTGCACATTGTCTTTCATTTGACATGATTACAGATTATCTTGACCAACAAAACACTAGACACTACTGCTTTTTGACAAAATTCAATTGTATAGAAACAAAAATATCTACTGCTGTTATATTTATGCGGTGGCATAGCATTTTTACACAAATCAATAGTGTCTTCTAAAAGTATTTGTTTCGAATTTGATAAAACCAAATCTTATGAGCATCTTCATAACAGTCCAAACTATTTACATATTTGCAAAATCGCATACTAGGGTTTTATTCGTCAGTATAATACATTTTAATATTTTATTTTCAAGATGATATTGACGAGCCTAAAAAGATACAAATCACAAACATGCCAGTCATTGTTAATCAGGAGATATTGAAAATGTTCTTCGAAAATAAAACAGATTTTGGAGGAAAAATTATTGACATCAACTTTATATCTGAAGAGAATAGGGCCATTGTTGAGTTTGATGATTCTACAGGTAATAAAGTATATAATTAAGCCTGATGTAAAATGTTATGAAGAAAAATTATATAACTGTTATTTTCTCGTAGAAATAAAACACAGCGTAGAAACAAAATCAATACTTCTTGTTACCAATATCTACGTTTAAAACGGTAAATAGGAATTGCACACTGCTGGTACTGATAGTACCAAGTATCAAGAAATTGATACATGTTTTAAAGCGAACAGGAGTCAAAAGATAATTTCTTTTTGTCTCAAAATTGAAGTTCTTGCATCATTGCTTAACGTTTCTCGTTTCGTTGTTGTTTTTTGTCTTCACGAACAGGGCTCCGCTATATCATAATGGCACTGTCTAGACATTATTTAAAACTTATCTCTTTATTATGTTCTGTGCCTATGAATTGAATTTTGGCTGATTTATTCAGTTCAATTAGAGACTAAAAGATGAGCCTGTTTATTATTTTACGTTTTGGATGATGTTTTTCACGTTATACATTGCAAAAATCACAGCATTTAATGTCCTTCCATAAAATATCTTTTTTTTAAGTTTGAGAATAGGGCCTGAACTTATTCAAAATGTCTTCTAAAACTGAATATTATGCAGTTCGATTTTAATTAGTAATTTGTAGTCGGTAGTGGTTAGTGCAAACTACGTCAACGCCAGATAGAGCAACGTTGAGCAGAATTGAACATCTAAACATAAAGATGGTGTTTTTATTTCTTTTTAAGTAAGAGTGCACACATGTTTACATTCTGTGGTGATCATGGAAATATCAATGTGATACGTTCGTGCAATTTCAAGAAAAATGACATATGATCACCTAGTAAATGAATGCTTATTTGGAAGCATAAACAACAATCGAAGGAACTTAATGAAAATTATATGTTTGATTAAGTTTGAGATTAAATTAATATTACACGTATGGAATTATTTTCTTTCTGCTTATAGCATAAGACTTAATGTAAGCAGGTAGACACCATTAAATAACTTTACATTTGTTTTACAGCTGTTTATAGGATAATTGACGAGCGACCAATGACAATTCTGGGCTATGATGTTAATGTAGATGTCTTCGGTAAGATAAATCATAAGTATGTTAATGCTAAAAATAAAAATGTTATAAAGCGATGCACAAGCGAAACATGATGTAGGCGATACACAAGTTTGAAAAATAAACCTATTTTCATTCCCTCAGTAAGATAATTAGTTTTGACCGTCATTGTAAGAATTTACAATCTACTGAATTTTCATAAGCTCATACAAAATTAAATGGCCACTTTAAATGTTTTTTTTCTTTGCGGGATAATAATCAAAGTCACTACTTCAAAGCTCTGAAACAGAAAGTTTCTTTCTGCTAAAATTGATGTTTCATTATTGAATATCTTCAATTTTTTCTGGTTAAATGGTTTGTGCTCCTTTTTCAAAAGTTTCAAAGGATTGGCATTGGAAATATGTACATGTCTAATTATCGATCATAACGGTTCAAATTTTAGGTAGCCAGGCCAGTTGTCAAAAACTTGTTCACAATCAGAGAATTTTTTTTAAATTAAATGTATAATTTTGTTGTTTTTTGTTGTTTTTTTAAACTTAACGTCAGTTATAAAAGTAAAGACGTTTTTTTAACGGAATTCTCAATAAATAGCTATATTCAGTATATTGACAATCTTCCGAGCGCAAAAAAAATATTGGGGGCGACTGTTATACATGTACACAAATGGACTTATCAGACCCTCGACTCCTCCTTAACCTTATCCCTCCTGTGTTTTGCAAATCTTCAATTCCGTGTTTATAGCATCATGATATGTAAAAAGATTTAAACGATATACACACTTTATAATGGTTAAAAAATTAATTATCTCAACAGATTTTCTATGTAACGCTTGCTTCAACTTACCGACTTAATAACATATGAAGATAACATCGATATCATAAAGAGATTATTGTGTAAAGTGCATACTAAGTTTTTCTGAGTTATCTCCGGGTATCTGATATGGAAATTTGAATTTTAAAACCTGAACCATGCTACGTCTAACAAAAATGTGCAGTTAAACTATTGGCATTTTTTGTGTAAGGAAAAACGTTCATGTAGCCACTGTGAATGCATAGTGCAACACATTACCAAATACACTAGTTTAAGCAGATTTCAAATATTTATAAACACAATTAAACTGTATTTAAAGCTATTGTCGAATTGGAAGATTAACCTTTTCTGGGAATTCTATTTAATTTTTGTATAAAACTGCGAGGTACAATATGCATCCTTATGTTGTTGTGTCTGTGTATGCTTAAATTATATTACTTTTAGATTCGTCTGTTGTTGTTGAACCTCAGAATATACCGCGTATAAGAATTTCCGGATTAAATGAGAACACAAATAATGAGATGCTTGCACTGTACTTTGAACATGAAGAGAGAAAAGGCGGAGGAAAGGTGAAAAATATTGAACTGCATCAGAGAGGGACATTTGCGATTATTGAATTTAAGGAGAAAGCGGGTATTTTTCATAATTTTTAAGTAATCATGTTTTAGTGTTTTTGCGTGCTTGTAACTTTGGCAACTTTTTGATGTATGATAAGAAGAGCATAATTCAGTTTAGCAACCATTCTAGGTAACTTATAAAACAAATACTGGGATGTTTTCATTTATTTTCAGTATCCTGTCCTAGTCTATTAATACATATTCATTTCAATGAAAAGTTTCAGTCAGTGATTTATATCAAATAAACGTATCAAATTCTGTTTATCAAATTTCGATTATCTTGATCACATTTGATAAATGGAGTGATAATGCAGCTCTTTTCATGCATATACATCAGCATACACACGAGCACATATTTAAAACAGGAGTAAGCAATATTGCTAAAAAGAATTATACGATAACTCAACGTTTCGTTATCTGACGTACGTTAAAAGCATGCGCATGTTTCATCCTTTCACGTTATAGTGTAAATAAAGATAAATAATGTATTAGCTAGAATGACATCAATAAACATTCCATATCCCATTGTAAAGATATATGTAAAATACATGGTTTCCTTATTTGTTATCTTATGTGTTCGTTTGAAATCGTTATTTCAGGTGCTGATGCGTTTTTGTTAAAAAATCCGAAATCTATATTGGGTATGAATGTCACGATAGAACTTATTGGTAAGCATATATTAAATAGCTTTATTTTTATTGGAATTGCAAGTAAATTGTAGTCCTGTTCTTTTAGGTATTTTTATTTTCTTTGCCAGTCTCTGTTTAATGACATATAAGCGAACATTCTATTTCTATTATAAAAGTAAACATGTTCTTTTCTAAAAGTACTTGGATTGATTATCACAATGTTTTTAATCAAACGATGTTCTTTTTAAAATACGATTTAAACCTTTTTAGAAACCTAGACTCAATGCATTTTTATTTGCGTTTGACTAGATTTAAAATGAGTATTAAAGGTTAATTAAACATGTAAATATGTAAACAAATGTATGTTTAGTGCGGTGAAAATAACCAACCGGATTGTCCATGAAACAAACACTTACTAGAATATACAAAACAAATAAACAAACATACAGTCATCATAAAATTTATAAACGATAAAAATGTATCCATAATCAATGTTCATTTCTCAAAAGAGTTAACTCAAAAAGTCATATAGAAATATATGCTATTGCTTAGTATATGAACATAATGTTTTGTTTCTGAAGATAAAAGTATTAAGTAGGATTTTAACCATTTAAATGTGTCATTCACGTAAACATTTGTTTTAATTATACATGTATTTTGGCAAAACGTTTGGTTTCTTATTGTGCGAAATATAATTCTAAGGCAATAGATTCATACCAAACATACGGATTAAAGGAGAGCAAATGTAGTGTTTTAATGAAATTCTACTTAACATCATAATTTAACTTAAGATACAACATCTGATACGAGTCGTACTAAATCAACAAGAATAAAAATTACTGGCCTGGCGGAAAACACCAATAAGGAGATGCTTGAAATGTTTTTTGAGACAGAGGAAAGAAATGGTGGCGGAAAAGTAAACAATATATACATTGATGGAAAGAATAAATGTGCTGTAATTGAATTTAAAGACGAATCAGGTAAAATTCATTTTGAAAAGAAAATATTGATTACCTAACCTTGTTGACATTGTTTGCACAAATGTTTCAATGATAGTATATCCTTTTTATTGTTTAATTCAATATAAAACTGCATGGTCGTTTCCTTCAATATACCTTAAATGCAATGTTCAACATATTATGTTTCTTTATTATATTTTCTGCCAGGAATCGTTTCGAACAATTCATTTATCTTCTATGTTTTAATTTACACTGTTTAGGTGTTGAATGGATTATGAATAGGACACCGATGTCAATACTTGGAATGGAGGTGGGAATAGAAACACCTGGTTTGTATACAGTCAATTTTATTTAGAATATGACATATTTTATAAAATATTATTTAAGTTGAAATTGCTTATTTTAATCAGCATGATAAAACTCATTTGAGCTTATCAGCATAACTGTTTTGATTATTTTGATGCTGCCAAACCACATAAGAGTAATTGTATCTAAGAAACTGTTTTTGTTTTTGATTTCAATATAATTCTGACCTGACTGTTCTTCTTATGTATTTTTTTGTTTTGAATTTTATAACTCCAATTCTTAAAATCATAATGCATAAAAGTCTAAATAAGATTTATACGAGGAAAGTCGCCTATGAAGGTTGTATTAATTTGTATGATTACTTTAATCATATTTCATTTTAAGATGCTATTGACCAGTCTAAAAAGATACAAATCACAAACTTTCCAGTCATTATAAATAAAGAGATGATGAAAATGTTCTTCGAAAGCAAAAGAGATTTTGGAGGAAAAATAATAGACATTAGAATGAAATCTGAAGAAAATAAGGCAATTGTTGAGTTTGATGATTCTACAGGTAAGACAGTATAAAATGTAACACTACTGTTGTAAATCTTTATGAAGAAAATTGATATATCTGTTATCGTATTAAATTTTGTAGAAATAAAACAACGATACCAATAATTCCCTTATGATTATATCTAATATCAATTGAAATTACACACTGCTAGTGCAAAAAGATTTGCTATATGTATTAACGGAAAAATATCTGAAGATTATCTCCCTCTATCTCAAAATTATCACTTGTTTACCAATTTCGTCTTTGTCTTTCGCTCATACAGGGTTCTGCTTAACCATAACGGCATTGTCAAGGCGATGTTATTCATTAAAACTTATCAATTTTTTAGTTCTGTGTCATTTAATTGGATGTTGGCTTATCTAGTCATTTCAATGACATACTTAATTATGAGAATGATTATTTGTTTTACGTTTGGTTAATGCTTTGTCGCGTAATACTTGGTAATAAAAATAAAATGTTTTCTTTTTGTATAGTTTAAATAATAGAGACTAAAACTTTCCAAAATGTCGGAAAAACTGAAAATGTTGCAATTTGGTGTAAATGAGCGTTTATAGACGTAAATGGTCAGTGCAAACTAGTCAACGGTTGCTAGCGCAACCTTGAACAAAATTGAGCATTTTCACAAAAAAATGAGTTTTTTAACATTGAGTGTATATGCAGATGTGTCTATTCGGTGGTGTTTATGGGACTTTCAATGAGACACGTTCGTGCCATTTCTAGAAGTTTTGCTTATGGTCACCAAGTGAAAGAATGCGTGCCTTTAATCAAGAAAAACAATCAACGGAACTTAGTAGAAAGAAATGTCTAATTACATCATGCTAACTTTGAAAAGCTATGAAACCGTTTTCATTCTGCTTATTTGATACGCCTTTATGAAAACAGACGTCATTTTGTAACTTATAAATTTGTTTTACAGCTGTTTATAGGATAATGGACGCTCAACCGTTGAAAATTCTTGGATTCGATGTTGATGTAGATGTCTTCGGTAAGATTAATCATAAATATTTTGATGCTAAAACGAGAAACATTTAAACATTTTGCTCAAATGAAAACTCAAATTAAAATAAATTCAACAATTCTTATGTTTAAAATGAAACCTGATAATCATTATGTCAGTAATGTTAGTAATCTTGATCCTACAATTCAAAAATCGTTATTGAATTTCTGCAAATAGGTTAATGAGTTTGTGTTCTTTGATCAAACGTTATCAAAGAATTGGTTTTTGAAATATCTTAGGCATGTCTTATAATCGATTATAAGGGAACAATTTGTACGTGGCAAAGCGTTTAACGTTTTCACTCAATGTGTGAAACCAACTTTGTTTTTTGTTGTTTTTTTTTTTTTTTGTTTTTTTTTGTTAGTAATTTACTGAGGTGTGAACATCAGCTATTCAGCTCGTTAGGCACTTGGGATTAATTGTTACATAGCTTTAATCGAGCATATTAACGTATAGTCTCACTCTTCAACACTGTAAGATTTTTCTTAGTTAAACACTGATTTCTTTCGTTGCTACAAATGAAATGAAATAAGGACGTTTTATATAACTTATTTATTTAGACCGTTTGAGTATTTTTTAGAAATTAGCATGTGTAATGAAAATGAATTGATCATGCCCGTCTGAATACTGTCTGCATCGTTTTCTGTTATTAACAAATTTTCGTTTTTGCCCATTTACAGTTCCTTGAACGTATCCTTCCACTTGAGATTTATTTTATTCACAAAGTTTGTGAAAGCCAATGTCAGTTTTTTAATGATTAAACATTAAACTCCATAACCGTTATAATCAATGGATGAAAATAACAATAAAGCGTGAAAAGCAAACAATAATATTGCGCAATTTTTCACACAATAATGTTCTTAAACAACTATTTTATTGCTATCATTTAAACAACTATATCAAAAAAGCAAAATATTGTCTTTTTCAGAAGACAAAGACTATTCAGATATTAAACCTGGCGAAAGAGGAATGCAGAGAGCAGAATCTTTACAAACAACAGGTTGTTATTAGCCAGGGTTATGACCAAAGCATAACCCTGGTTTTTGAAAGATAAATGATTCTCTAAAAGTAATTAATATCAGGAAAAAATAAGGAGATCAAATTTCAAAGCAGAACTAACATAAATTATTTAATCTTGCTTTTTACACGTCGATTTCTGTATAGCCATATATATTCCGACATACATTAAATGGGGAAGTAATCATAATAGTATATTTTCGTCCCTAACGCAATCAATATAAATCATTTTACCGTGATTTTTGCATGTAAGTTTTATTCAAACGTAAGCATAAAAACAAATTCAAATAAATGATTCGATTGTCATTATTTTAGTTTATTTCGGTAAATGAAAAATTTATTTCGGTAAGTTGCCGGAAGCGAGTTGATTTCGGTATCGCAACGTACCAGCAATTTAATCATACCCCATGAATACCCCTGGTTTTATCCTTGTTTCAAGAAAGTCTCAATATATGCTGTTACATTTGATTTGCAAATAATAATACTCAATCCGTAACTTTAGAATACACCATCGACTTTTTTTTAAAGAAAAACATTCGTAGTTTAAGAATTATTATTCTTTACATAAATTAAATGCTCAGTTTTCTCTTTCAGGAACAGAACAAGACTCCTCACACAAATATGGTATATACATGATTTTGTTTATTTTGACAATAGAGTCACTTACTAAAAAATACGAGGAGTGTTCACTGTCACTTTAGGTGGCAATACATAGTCTACATAATACAAAAATGGTTGGTTCAAGATCAGAGTATGCCCTCAAAAGGCGGTCTTATATAAATAACTGGCTCCTTGGCTTAGGGCATTTATTTTTATGATGAAATCTGTTCTGTATATGGACGAAATAAAATGACTTGTTCACAAGTTCTTTATTGGTTTATAAATTCAGAAGTGGGGTAATGTCGACTGAAGATGTATTCAATGACCTTTAGCCTATAACATCATCATCTGTCAAGATGGTTGCTAACATGAAAAAAGTTAATACTTATTCAAGATACTTCACTAAATAAATAGCTAGTATCAATGGCATCTCATAAAAATCTGCTCATACCATTGTCAACGTGATTTGAAAATTGGAAAGACATGTGGTTTTCTTGACAGAAGATAAGATGCACAATGCGACTATTGTGCAAGACATCTCGAAGCAGAAACAAATCGTTGTGCTTTCCATCCTCCGTATTGTCCTGACCTTGCCCGTTGTAAGATGTGATTTCCTTTAGTTTCAAAAACCAACAATCTAAAATATTACCTTTCAGGTTGAAAGTTTGTTTTGCGCAAATACTTTCGGTTCAGCAAAATACCAGTGTTTGAATTGTATACCTTGTATACCTATAAAGAAACGAACATTACTTGCTTAGATGAAATTTTGACACTCCTCGTATGTTTATACTACAAAAGCATTATAATAATCTACTTCAAGTATATAACGTGTTTGACAATATGATATATTTTAAGAATTTGAATGATTGAAACTACAGCTTTTCTGACTGGACATTTTCATAGTATAAATTGCAGATTGCTGTTTGAAAAACACTTTAATATTTTTTCACTTGACCCCCTGTGAAGTAATTTGTAATTAAATGAGGGACTTCATTCGTAAATTGTTCATTGTCATTCAATTCATAACAATCACTGAAGTGTGTGTATTATCGAGTTTGATACTTTCAGTTGATTGTAGTATTGCATAAATTACTTAATTATATCAATGAACGCAATTATTTCAACGTATTTGGTATTTTTATGAGAAATGTTATACATTTGAAAAAAATTGTAAAAAAAAACATCATTTTATAAAGATTTAATTCGTAGGTAAAACTATTGTTTCAATACACGAATCAGTTGGAAGACAAATGAAGGGAACAGAATCTTCACAGACACCAAGACAAATCATTTACGAAAGTATGTAAAATCAATTTATTTTTTACAAACTACTGGAAAGTGCAAGTTAGCGTCCACTACCCCTAGCACCGGCTTAAGCAGAATTAAACATTTAAACACATTAATGGTGAAATTTTGAATTTAGAAACATCTGTTAAATTTCACCATTTTTCGTGTTTAAATGTTTAATTCTGCTTAAACGGGTGCTAGGGGCGTTGACGGTAATTTGCACTTGACAGTACCGTCCATGAACAGGCTCAATAAAACCGAGTCTGCAACATTTTCAATTATGTCGTGTTTGGTTTTCTTTATGGATTCTGTATTTCTCTATTTCATAACCTCGGATCCCCTTTCAAAATTCCATTTTATTTTGTTCCGGTCATTGTTTTCTCGTTTAGGGCACATGCATTTTTTAATTGGGGACCATACGCCGATTTCCATGGAATGGCACTAACGTGTCGCATTTAAGGCTCCATGATAATCGCTGTATGAACACATCTGCAGGTGTTTACAAATTCAAAATTTCACCATTTTCATATTCTGCTTAAGCCAGTGCTAGGGGGTTTGGACGGTAGTTTGCACTTGGCAGTACTGTCCATGAACAGGCTCAATCAAACGGAGCCTGCAACATATTCAACACTTAATCATGATAATGGTGAAATTTGAACTTAGAAACATCCACAGATGTACTCATTCGGCGGTTATCATGGAACCTATGTAATGTGACACTTTCGTGTCAGTCCATAAAAAGCGGCATATGGTCCCCGATTAAAAAAAATGCGTGTGCCCTAAACGAGTTAATAATGGGCGGAACTCAATAAATTGAATTTTGAAAGGGGACCAAAGGTTATGAAGCCTACAAATCACAGATAAGACAAAAGTCAAATTTAAAAATCAGGCCACATATCCTAAGGGTTATTCAACAGTATTCAAGTGAGGAATACAGGAACCACCCAACAAGAAAATAGCCGAATAGAAAGAACTTAATTACCACAAGCACAACATAATGTCGTGCTGATCGTGTCACCGCAGTGTTTATTGATCTAAAGGTTATGACGGAAACATACACCATTATTTAAAAAAAATCATTTAAAGTAATTAAATCAATAAGGAATATGAAGTGCTACTTTTTAGCTCATCAGAACCGAAGGTTCACGGTGAGCTATTAGTATCCAAGGGGAATGCTCCGGCGTCCGTAGCCCGTCGTCGTGCGTCCAGAATCGTCTTTTTCTCTGAAACTACTAAGCAGATTTTTTTAATTTTCTCATGTCATTTCAATTTGCCTCTTAAAGGGGTCAACAGATCTAAAAATAGAAAATCCTTTAATCATCTTCTATTACAGAACTTATTGATGGATGATCACAAAACTTTGTCTGTAGCATTCTTGGGTAGTCTTTTATCAAGTTTGCTCATTTTAATTTGATTGGACCCTTTTAGGGGTCTCTAGGGCTAAAAATGGAAAAACTTTTAAACATCTTCTACAGAACTAATGAATGGATGATCACAAAACTTTGTCTGTAGCATTCTTAGGTGGTCTTTTATCAAATATGATAAACAAGATCAACAAGGAAAGGCGGCGTTCAATGAACGCAACCCCCATACGACCCAGCAACAAGAACCAGTGGCAAGGAGCCCAGGCGAACCCCAAACAAAAATAGGACAGGGTACAAGACAGAGCATGGATACGTTAATCACAAAAATGATAAATAATTTGTAACTGATAAAGAATTCAAAGAAAACAAATACATGATTGAATAATAGGAAATAAGTTGTAACTAATAAGAAATTCAATGAAAACAAATAAATCATTGAATATTAGGCCCACAAAGTCCAAGGGCACAGGGGAAGGCGATAGGAGACCGGGGGAATGGGGGTGAATCAAAGAAATAAAACTTGGGGGGAAAAGGGAAGATACTTACCGTAGACGAGAAAACAACAAGGGACACAAGCAAAAGTGTCACAAAAACAGTATGAAACAACATAGACATACATCTGAGGAACACAGAGGGGCACCGCCTTGGAACGGTCAGCAGCACAAGTACTGCTGGGGAGTTTAAACTGGTTAATGGTGCACCATACCTCACTCTTAGCCACACCATGTTCCTATAAACGAGACAGTGTTTTTGCTCATATTAATTTGATTAACCCCTTTTAGGGGTTTCTAGAGCTAAATATAGAATAACCTCTTCTACAAAACTATTTCATGGATGATCACCAAACTTTGTCTGTAGCATTTTTAGGTAGTCTTTTATCAAGTTTGATCATATGAATATGTTTGGCCCCTTTAAGGGGCCGATAAAGTTAACAACAGAAAAACCTATAAATGACATCTTCTACAGAACTTATTGATGGTAATCACCAAACTTTGTCTGTAGCATTCTTAGGTACTTTTTCATCCGGTTTACTCATTTTAATTTGATTGGCACCTTTAAGGGACCACTAAAGCTAAAAATAGAAGTACCTTTAAATGTCTCCTTCTACAGAACTAATGGATGGATGATCAACAATTTTTTGTAGCATTCTAAGGTAGTCTTTTATGAAGTGTGCTCATATAAATTTAATTGGCCCCATTAAAGGTAAAGCTTAAATGCCCAGGTCCATGTCATGGAATTTCTTCAAATTCTTGTTTAAAGATATTCTATGCTCAAATTTAATATTTGAAAATATTGACAATGGGTAGTTTTCAACAGTGAAAAGCAGTTGTTTCTGGTGAGCGACTCAGGGCCATCATGGCCCTCTTGTCATTATAAGTCGCTGGATATGATTGTCGAATAATGTAAACTCGTGATCACTATACCGGAATGTTTTTTACTTTTACAGTCAGTAGCCAATCCGGTTAAGTGACATTTGACTCAACTGTACTACGTTTTAAATAGTGTAATAATTTCATTTAACAAATCTTTCAGGATCTGCTGTTGCTGAAACTGCTGACAGTAACCCTGTTGAAAGGCTGGATTCTTCAAAGTCGAGAGGTAGTCAATCTGATTTGTTCAGTTTAATTTTATCTTTATTGATAAAAAGCAAATCACTTCATGTCTTATTTCACTCACTACAAATCACAATTACTAACAACATTAAGTGCTTAATTGTGCATAAACTCAGCAAGTCAGATGACTTAGAATTATCAAATGCTTCTAGTCCAATACTTTCTGGGTGACCATGACATTTCTACAGTTGCTGAATATTAATTTTCGTTATTTTCCTTAACTTCGACTTCGAACGCGGTTGATAAAATTGTTTTAAGCCAACACAAAATTGTTAGCTAACTTAACCTGTTTGTATAATAAAATAGGATATCTGAAGCCATATATTTTCAATTATATTATTTACATGTATATCATGATATTCCTTTTAGGAATTCAAAAGATAAAGTGTTGGCACAAAAATGATAATAGATAGACTTCTTTGAGTGTGTTTATATAGGTTGTGGCCTGATAAAAGACTACGATAATTGTTATGTTAGCATTAAGCGTTTTAAGATGAATATTAAACTCAGTTTTCTGCATACTTTGCCACTTATGAAGTAAGGCTTCTAACGACTGAATACAAAAATGATTCCTTTCGTTTGGTATTCGTTTTTACACTTAATGTTATGTTATTTCACTAAGAAATTAGTTGTAAGTCTGGGTTTAATATAAAGCCAGTGATTTTTATTTCTGCAGCTTCGGCTGAAACTGAAGGCCAGATATTTTATCAAATACTGCAACAGCTTGGATTGACAGACAAATTCCCTGGTAAAATATCTATGCAAGATGTCATAGCTGTTACTCCAAATGAATCCATAGAGCAGGTAAATGAGAAGATATCCTTAGCTGATATTCCTTGGTTGATTCTGAAACGCTTGATAAGTGCTCATAGTGAATGTAGAGACATTACAATGTCAAAAGAACAAAGTACTGAAAGTAGTCTGAAATATGAGGATTCAATATCACCTTCATCGGAAAGACCACATGACAATCAAGATATCAGCCCTTTAGATATATTCACTGTTGTTTTTCAGTGTTGTGATCCATCTTTGAAACAAATTTTTGTTCAAAACCTATATCTTTGTAAACTTGCAGTACCCTTCTTTTATAGCTTTTGGGAAACTAATGAACAACACACTCCAATAATCTCTGTTTGGCCGTTGCGGTCGCTGGCCATAGAAAATAATCAGAAATATGCTAATAAAAATGAAAAACATTGTAGAGAAAGCGATGTCCTAGAACTACCAACAAAAGTATTAGCATTTGGAAGGCTGGGTCGCCCTCGCTATTCGAAATCTAAACTGATAAATAGTCTTCTTTTAAGTGAAGGTTGTAAGACATTTTTTAACATGGACTGTCCTTCTGGGAAGTCTCCAAGACAATTAAGTAATGGGCAGATAGAGATGTTTCTGTTACCAACCATCGATGAAAGAAAAGATAGATTTCAAGATGCAATGACTTTTTTAAACTTAAGGGGTGATCTTTGCAAACATTTTAGCACAGATATTTTGTACTTCACTGCAAACTTTGTAGATTCAATTGTTATGATCGTTGATTTAGACATGGTTTTGAACCAAAGTAAGAAGGTTGAAGATGTTCTTCTTCAATTTTCCTCAGTTATTTTGATTATTGCGGACCCATTAAACCCTGATGCAGTTAGATTCGTTAAGAAATTTCAAAGTGGTGTGATTTCATCAAAATCAGAAATCAGTTTAAGAATTTTGAGTACACATAAAGGCACTGTTGAGCAGAATGTCGTAGATATGTTATCAGGCATGACAAAAAATATATCAGAACAGCTTAAAATCAATAAAACAAAGTCTTTTGAAGAACGATTATCGCAAGCAAACCTGGCAACCATAAAAACCGACGAAGAAGATGTCGTCTGTCAAAAAGGCAAGCTAGAAGCTACTACACTTATTAAACAAATGAAAACTGACGGGGAACCAAGTGGCTGGAAAACACACTTGACCCCAGTCCAAAGTAACTTATCAAAGCAATTAGGAATGTTATTAAAAAAAAGAGAAAGAGAAAGAGACCTCATAGAAGTAGGGAAAATAGATGTAAAAATCATAGAAGTGAGACGAAAACAAATTGCATCGATAACTAATTCTGTTAAATGCTTTCTTTACCTGCTGATAAAAAACAGCAACTGTCCTTTAATTCTTAAATATTTTCTTTCCTGGTTACATTTTTACATTGAAAGAGAAAAACGCCAAATATTACCACGGTTGATGCATGCACATCGAAGCGCTTGGGAAAAATTAAAATCACTTAAATATTCTGAAAAATTTGTTCATGGAGAAATCATAGAAACTCAAGAAACTGTCATTACAGATTTGGAGGAACAAATTGACGGAGCATCATTTACAGTTCAACATTTCTTTCGTGAAATTGGTCATATAAATGAAGCCATTTTAGAACTCAAAGAAGATTCAACCAAATTAGGATTACCAACTTTACACCAGATGTCTAATATTGTTAGTCGTCTTCTCCTTGATGGCTACCATTTCGAGCTGATAGATGGTGAGAGCTTTTACATGCCATACCAATGGATTAAAACTGTCCTTAAAAATGTTGATATATCTATTGGATCTAGTAAAGTCATGACACTTAGCGTTTTAGGTCTGCAAAGTTCCGGAAAGTCAACTCTTTTGAACAGGATGTTTGGATCCAATTTTTCTTCAAGAAGCGGTAGGTGTACTAGGGGAATACATGTCCAGCTGATTCCTATGAAAGGTACACATTTTGGTGAAACCTCTGAGGTGTTTAGCTATGTACTTATTGTTGACACAGAAGGTCTGAGGTCACCCGAGTTAAGTAATGTGCAGCATGAACATGATAATGAATTGGCTACTGTAATAACCGGTGTAGGTGATATCACAATGTTAAATATTATGGGAGAAAATCCAAGCGAAATGAGGGACGTTCTTCAAGTTGTTGTGCATGCCTTTCTACGATTGAAAATGACAAATGAAAAATTAGATATAAGAAAAAGTTGTGCATTTATTCATCAAAATGTATCTGATACGTTTGCAAGAGAAAATATGATAAGTGGTTTAAGCAAATTAATGCAGACTCTAGATGAAATGACATATGAGTCGGCGAGAAGTTTGGGAATTATTAACATCACAACATTTAACCAAGTTATCGAATTTGATATAAGGCAAGTGTGGTATCTGAAGAATTTATGGCAAGGAAATCCACCGATGGCTAAAATAAATAATGGATATAGTGAATGTGTAGTTGATATAAAGTGCAAGATCTTGGAAAAGGCCTCGACTCTGAAAGATAAATCATACAAACCATTGACGGATATAGTTGAACACGCACATGATTTATGGAAAGGTGTTCTCAATGAAGATTTTGTTTTCTCTTTTAGAAGTAGTCTTGAAATAGAAGCATATATGGAAATGGAGAGTGTTGTTCACAATGAACTTTGGCGACTTGAAAGCCTTATTCGTGAAAAATTATTACAAATATCGCAAAACAGCTTTGCTAAATGTGATCAAAAGGAAAACTTACGAAATGTAGCAGACAGTCTGATAAGCGAGCTTTACGAAATCCTTTTAGATGAAAAAATCAAAACTGAAGAAAATATTAAAAAATACTTTGAGGGAAATAAATTTAAAGATATTGTCATTCAATGGAAAAGTAGCCAGCAACACCGTGTAACCATGTTATTTGAAAAGCTTCAACAAATCATCAAAGAACATGTCGAAAAAAGCCAAGTAAAAAGATCATTAGAAATTCTGACAGTACATTGTCAAGGGAAGCACGAGGAAGAACTAAGAAAAAGATCTATGGAAGTTGCAAATGCTCACAAAGGTCAGAAACTAAATAGCGAGAAGATTGATCAACTTTTTGGAGAAATATGGAAGGAATTTCTTAACAAGGTTGATACTTCTTCTACAGGAACGGAAAAACACAGAAAGAAAATGAAAAATATTTTTAGAACATGCCTTGAGAATATTTTTAAGCAGAGCCATGCTTTGCTTAAGCAGGCTTTGAAAGACACCGATTTCTTGACGCCATTACCAAATGTTAAACAGTTAGCAAATTCGTTTTCTGACACGGGAATAAATGAGTCGGACATAAGCTTCACAATCGTACAGAAGGGGAAAGCATGGCTAGGCTTTTCTGATACAATGAAATATGTCGGGACAAGAGTAAACCAAATATTCGAGTCAGTTGATGGAAAAATAAAAGAGCTTTGCCAAGTTAATGATGAAATAACGGAAATGTCTGTCAATAAATTAATGCATGAGCTAGATATTAGTATACAAGGTATCTTATCGGCAGACTGTAAATACAGTTTTAAAGTGCCTTTTTATGTAAAAATCTATGTACATGTAAGCAGGCATGCTCATACAATTTTCGAAAGTCACAATGAAAAGTACGTTAAAACCCATGGCACTGCTGTCCTTCTAGAAAGATACAGAGTTCAGCAGAAGATAAGTTTCGAGTCTCATTTAAAATGTCGCCATTTTGAAGATTTAGTCGCAGAACTATTTTCTCATGTCATAGAAAGTTTTGCAGAAGAATGGACATTTCAAAGTCTACCGAATAAAGTAACTGAAAGCCTTATGTCTCTCCTTCCAAACGTCAAGAACAGGGTTATAATTGAAATATGCACAGATCTTTTGGAAGAAGGCAAATTTGAAAATTTTGTGAGATATATTGATGATCCACATAGTTATGCTACTTTATGGATAACTAAAAAGGCTAATCAGTTTCTCTTTGACTCAGAGTTTCAGGTCGTTACAAGTATTTCGTCATTATTACTTAAAGATTTGTTTAGAAGTGTCTGCAATTGCGTTAATGGTGTCCTAAGAGAATACGATAGGAAATCATCACCCTCGATCGATACGTGGATAAAATCTTTTCAAAATTCAATGAAGTCGTTAGATTTTTCCATTCCATCTGAAAGCTTTCGGAATGTCAGGAAAGAAACATCATCTAATATACAAAATGTGGAATACCTGACTACGAAAATTTTAGATTATTTGGGCAATTCTGAAAAGAAACTTGCATCCAAGTTAAAATCACAAAAGAGTCATACAATAACATGGTCAGGCTATAATCCTATATCACGAATTATAAAAAAGATATGGGGATGTAAGGAACAGTGTGTTTTTTGTGGAGAACCATGTGCCAAGAATCAGGATCATGACGGATCTACACACTACAGTATACAACACCGTCCTTCATGCTGCAGGGGGGTTTGTATCAGAACATCGCAAAATGCATGCCTAGCATCGTGTGAGTTTGATATTCAATCAAACGCAAGGCATATGTGCTCTGTTTTCAATTATATTTGCAATAGTGGAAAACGAGAAGAATGTGGTAAACATCATTATTATAGGGATTACAAAACATACCTTCCAGATTGGGACATAGCTCCAACGTCTAATATGCATGACGCATCTAAATTCTGGATATGGTTTGTAGTGACATACAAAGGAAATCTTGAAAAGCTGTATGGCTATAAGATTGAAGACATCCCCTCAACATGGAACACTATAACAAAATCAGAGGCCAAAGAGAGCCTACATAAAATATATTCTGCATAACAAGCGTCAATTATAAAAAAGAATTTGAAAGAAATCAACACATCAATGCCTAAAAGTGTGTTAGATTCCATGAAAACTGACGAAATCAAATAAATTTAACGACGAAAAAAGATAAATAGTTGAACATTATAATTCATGTTTTTGTCAGAGCTATTATCCTTATATATCATAACAAAAGGAAGACATGACAATTTGTATAAGGTTGCCGTACTTCAATTCAGAGTTCTTATATTTTTATGATCCATCAGAAGCACTAAAAACGAAAAGGTACATGAACATTGCAAAATCGGTTTGATTGAGAATGTACATGAGGAATAAAACGAATAGGTACACCATCCCTCACGCCCCCTAGCATCGGCTTGAGCGCTACTGAATTCACAACACTTAAAAGTGCTGGTCCCAATGGTCCCAAAGGACCATATATATAAGTACCTGACAAAATTTATTTTTCAGTCACTGATGTGCATTTACAGGATATAACAAAAAATAACGATAAAGCTCTTTTACAAAGTGAAAAGAAATTATTATCGCTTAACTGTTTGAGCATGCAAGAAAAGGTGTTGAAAACCTAATGAATTTATGTTTCTTTTTCCGTTTCTTTAGCGGATTTATTACCAATTTTAGGAATTTAAGTTATATGGTTGATTGCTACCAGTATGCAACATTATTTGTAACTAAAATGGCTAGATTCATTTGAGTTAATAATAATAACAATAGGACAATAACAAGTTAGTAATTCAACTTGCTAAACAAATTGTTTAAAAGTGTTGACAATTTCGTGCCTGAAATGCACTTTGAGCGAAACTTCAACCGCCAATCAAAGCATTTGACCGCCGATCGGTCATTCAGCCGATTCCAATTTGAATGATTATGATAATTTTGAAGTTTTAACAGATTTAAATATGAACGACACGTTATTTATGCAAAGAATAGCGAAATGTATTATTAATACCAATAAATTAATGACAATGATACTAGATTAAAAATTTTGAAGAAATTTTGATTTTTAATTTTAATTAACTGATGGTATGCATATTGATGTTTGTAAAATTGGGTTCAAATCAATTAAATACATGTATATTTTTTATTTATGATGGTTAAATTGCGCTTTAGTTAGAATGCTAACCTTAAATAGAGTTTGTTATGATATAACATCGGTCATTATTTTCCGTTGTATATTGGTTTAAATGAACAGTCGATTTAAGTTAAGATAGTGATTTAAATTGAAATGTTTTTTACCTGTTTTCATGAGGGATTTGTGATTAGCACTTATGTTTATTGTGTTGTTTGTGCATCACCCGTATTAATCAGAAATCTTGTTGATCACATGAATTTACCTAAAAAAGTCTATAATATTTGATTTTTAAGAGTAGGATTTTTCAATTTGTTGTTTACTTTTCTTCTCTTTTTTACAAGTGATACATGCAAATTTCCAAGCGTATGCACCGTCTACAATGACATGTGTATGGTTTAAATTTTGTTTATCTGTAATTTTGTTAATTTATTATACATTCGTAAAAACAAAACCCTATAAAGTTTTACAAAATGAATGTTAGAGTTTAGAAGTAATTGCTTTGAATTTAATTGGAGAATGCCTTTATTTGCTTTATTTGCATTTTAACAAAATGTTTGTTATCTTTTGTTCGATGCAATGGAAATATAACAATCCATTTTCTGCAGCTTACTTTTCAACTATAATAGAAATTTAAAAAAATCACGTGAACATGCAAAAATTTATTTAGGAAGATGAGTGTAAATGGATATCAAAAACATGTAATTTGCATTCCAAGAAATATATTAAACATGCTATTTTTCATATTTCTTTTGTGTATTTTTTATATTTGCTGAATATGTAGGAAATAAATCATATCTAATTACAAATGAGTATGATCTAACACGTTCTGTTTGGTCTGGTTTGTACAAGAATATCTTTTTTCAATTAACACGATGAATGAGTTTCTGTTAGACATTTGCCGTTACTTTTTTACGTTGATAGTAAATGCTTTTTAGTTAAAATTCATATTGTATATAAATGAAAAATGATTGTTTGAAACTGTTACATATAAAAGCAATCGCATAATCACTCGAATTTTTTATACATATCGACAGTGACGCGTCAGATATGCTCTTTTAGAATATATGTTGTTAGTCCCCTACCGGTTTACTGAAAATATGACAAATTTAACACATAAACTGGAGCTAGTGATAATGCAAAAAGTACTGAAAATATTTTTATGAAACTTGAAATATATGTAGATGGTAGTATGAAGATTATACACATCATTTTTTTATCATGACTATAGGGAGTATATTGAGAGCTGTTATACTTAACAAACGTCGGCAACCTCGTTTTTTTTCTTTTCTTCCTATTTTGAAAAACAAATTGATTGCCATGGCAACAAATAGGTTTAAAACATGGCAAATATAACAATATTTGTGATAAGTCAAAAAAGCTGAAAATTTTTATGAAACTTAAAATATGGATAGATGGTAGTATGGAAATTATACACATCATTTTTATCTTGACTATGGGGAGTATATTGAGAGCTGTCAAACGTAACAAACGTCGACAACCTCGTCAAGATATCTGATTCTAGGTTTTGGGCTTTTTAACTATAAGTTCTTTATTTCTTAAGATATTTATTTCAAACTTCAAACATAAGTTTCTGGTCATTAACCACATCATATGTGACAAGGTTTTAACTCTAGCACAAAAAATATCAGAATTGCCTCCCTTGAACTTACATGAAAAAATGATGTGTTTTTTTAAATAACTTCTTTATTTCAATGTATCTTCTTCAAACCTCATATATATGTTTCTAATAATCACTCAAATCATTTGTGAGAAGGTTCTATACTCCAGTAAGACTATTTCCAGAACTATGACCCCCTCGAACTTAGATTTGTATCGAGAAATGGGTATATTTTACTCCAACTTCTTCATTACTATAGGATTTACTTCAAACTCCCACATCATAATAATATGACAAGGTTAATAAATCTATCATCCTTATTTCCAGAATTATCTCCTCTTTAAACTTATTCCTATTCATTTTTTAGCTTTTTTTTACTTCAAATTCAAAATAAACATTCTTTATGAACAGCTTCATTACTAATTGTTCTTTGTTACACTCACATCATGTGTGACATCTTGGATCTTCATTTCAAGAGTTATCTACTCTTTAAGAATTTTGCTCTTAAAAATGCTATATTTTGGTAACAGGGATGTTTAAAAAATAACTTTTTAGTCTGCCTGCTCATAAAAACTGTTTCCTGTGATCACTTTAAAAGAACTTTTCCAACAAATTTTCTTAATGAAACATTAGTGAATGGCCAATAGCCCATCAGAATGTTGCTGGGGTTCTAGCCGGTAGGGGACTTATGGATTGTTGTTGTTGCTTTACATATATAAAAGTAAAGGTGTGATAGAAATTTAATATCATGGCATAATATCAATGGAACATATACGATATTTAGACATAGGTTGCTTTAAATTATGTATTGTCTACTTGACCTTTTTGTCAATGGCTATTGTACTATTGCTTTTCTTCTTAATAATCAGACTATGGAAATAAAAAATGTTGTGTGTGTGTGAAATAAAATGAAGTTTGTTGTTGTTTTTATTTCTAGAATTCAACCGAGTTCTAGGGTCTTCCGTGGCCGAGTGATTAAGGTCGTGAACTTCAAACCACTTGCCCCTTTCCGCTGTGGGTTCGAATCCCGAAAGGGACCTTGGATGTTTTCATGTGAAGAAGCTATCCAGCTACCTTACGGAACGTCGGTGGTTCTACTCAGCTGCCGTTCATTCCTGAAATAATCCAAGGAAGGGCACCTGAGGTCTTCCTCCACCAGTAAAGCTTGAACGTCGCCATATGACTTATACTGTGTCAGTGTGACGTAAAACCCAATCAAACAAACACAAAACCGAGTTCGAATCATGCAATGTTTCCTCATAGAACAGTTAAAAATTAAAACCTTTACAAAATAGAACCCTGCGAGTCGGATATGTCGCCTTGTTAACAGTATAGCTTACAATTTGCATACACCTTAAACTTTAGTGGCATTTGAACTGATTGTAACAATGTTACATCAGGACTGATGTAGCTTCAATAGCTTATATTGTGAAGGGGAATTGGCCTTGACAAAAATAAAGTATAATAATTAACAAAGGGCAATAACTCTAAAATAATGAAGTACAGAGTACCGATTCTTGTGCACTGCTCTTCTCAATGAGATCTATCATCCTATGAAGTTTCAAGTCCATAGCTTATACAGTTTATGAGAAATTGCCCGGACAAAAATAAAGACTTAGTATGAAAATAAACAAAGGGCAATAACTCACAAAATAAGAAGGGCAGAGTAATGGTTCTTGTGCATTGCACTTCTAATAATTGGATCTATCATCCTATGAAGGGTCAAATCCATGGCTTTTTAATGTTTTGGAGAAATGGCCTAGACAAAAATAAAGTATGAAAATTAACAAAGGGCAATAACTCCAAAAATAAGAATTGCAGAGTAATGATTTGTGCGCACTGCAATGGGTTATTGAAAGAAGCATGTATACCAAGATTGGAGTCAATCCGACTGATAGTAACTGAGTTATGACCGACTCCCGCCGATAAAAGTAACTCCTATGTGTCGCTTTTTTCAAGATGACACAAAAACTCAGGTGAAAAAGGAATGGGTAACATATGGTTACAGAAATTTAAAAAAAAGCAATGATCCTGTGTTTAATCTAATAGTTTTATCTTACATATAAATCACGAATACGTTACTAAGAATTTATTGTAGTTAAGAATGTATTCTTAACTATCATTTGATATTACAGACATATTTTACCTTTTTGTAAAATAACGAACTGTTCTTCCTCAAAATGTATTAATTATGCAATCGCCCCAATATTTCGAACCAATATAAATATTTTTAGGACGATTGATTTCATCACCTCCAAGTAAGTTTACCAATTATTTCATTTGTACTTGTTATCCAGTTTTTTGGCTTCCAACAGACCTTTTAATCTTTGTCAAACAGATCTACAAACATTTCAGGATTTCAGGCATTGCATTTCTTTTTGAGTTAATGCTTTAGGTTCTATTTTTTTTCACAAAAATATGAAACTTGATTATTAAACAACGAGCACATACCAAGAATATGAAGAAAATTTATTAGTGCTTTGGATATTCAACTATAATAGAGACCAAATGTCAAGACTGAATTTGTACATAACCTGTGACTGTTCAAGTATTTGACGGCGTCTTTGATGTGTAACATCAACATTTAACTTCTTTATTCTGTAATACTTTCACGACAAGTGGCAGATTAAAATTACAATTAAATGCTTTGTAGGATTTCCTGCAAGATGTGGTATTCTGATATTCTATGGACTTCTTATTCTTATCATGCAAACTTGATTTAAAGTTTGAACGTTTTTCTACGAATTGCACGACCAATTTTCCCGTCTTGTAAATGAACATCAACTTGATGATACGGTTTAAACTTATTAAAATGAGTTCACTTGAAAGTTCTGTGAGTGTATGCTTTTGTAGAATTATTAAAATCCGTTTCATAATATTATAATAGTATATATTGCAATTACGGTCTCTCCAATAAAAATGCTTGCAAAATGTACAATGTAATTATAAATAGTCTCAAAAAAATGCCACAGTCTATACTTAACATCCTTTTTAGAAAAAAAAAACAACGAATGAAACAAAAAAAATGTCGACATAATATATGTTGTTCGCTATTTCCTTTCATTCAACATTAAGCGTGTTTGCCATACATTCGTAATAAATCCAAAAAAAATATACAAAACATATCAACAAATTTATACACTCTAACAAACATTATATTTGTAGAAAACATGGTCTCTCTATCCATTTTATGCCGACAACTCTAAGCTTATCTGGCGTTCAATCCAACAGATCAAATGTCAAAAGAAATGACGCTAAATCAATATGCTGTGGATGCATTGCAATCTGAAAAAAAAATCTAAATGATTGTGTTCTCATCTGAACGCAATACAAGCCTGGCTGATAGTTATGTTTAACAGTTGGAAAAATTGGGATAAAATCGCCATTTTGTGGAAGAAAATTTGACATTTTCCGTGCTTAAAATATATGGAGCAACAAAAATTATGAATCCTGTATTTAGGTTTTACTACGCACAACAAATGAGCCACAACAGAATGTTCTTCTCCACAAGCCTCAATATTTGTTTTCTCTTGTGACCTACAGGTCAGACCACCTTATGTTTGTTATACGGTCGGTCTGTCTTAAATCATCAACAAACTCCGGACTGTTCACCACATGGCAATGTAGTTTTAATTAACATTCCTAGAAAACGTAAAGTTGTTATAATTGTGTTTGAAATATAGTTGTTGAGGCGTTTCCCAGTCAGCAAATTTACTTTTGAAATGGACCGTTTTATCATGAAGCAGATTGGTTTTCCTCAAATGTTCACCTAAATAGCGATTCAGATAAAACACAAATAATTTCGAGTAGGTAAAAGGTTTAGATATCAAATAAAATTGAAATCAGAACAAAACATTCGTTAGTAAAGAACATATAGAATATTTATTCTGCGAGACAGCTCTGTCAAGAAAGAGGTAGTCATGTCGCCAAAGGAGATAGCTCTATGGTTTCAAAAGGGGACCAAAATGATATAGGCTAAGAATTTAAAAGGAATATTTAGGATATTGGAACAACGGGTATCATTATGGAGAGAATAATTAACTATTTTACAATATTTGTTTTATATATGCAGTAACTATTGCTTCATCATTCACGAAGTGATCTTACTTTTATCCCAACTTCAAGATGAGCACTAGGTTTTACAAATGCGTACCCTGTGTACAAATTGATACGTCACATTTCTAATGCACACATACAATTACCTAACAGGAACACAGTAAATGTACAATTTCTTTTAAAACAATTTAGTATGCCTAAGAGTTTGAAGCGTCACGTAGTAACCGTTCACATGAGAGAAAAGAAATATGAAATATTTAAAGTGACAAGAATAATTTGTTTAGATTTTTGTGATAGTTTTAAACGTTCCTGGGAAGATTTTGTTCATTTTTTTAAATGCCCAGTGAGTTTCCATTTTAGATTAAGTAAAAGTATCTACATTTTTTCAAGCTAGTCAGAAAGCTATGTTTTTTTTCTTTAAAACGCCTTGTTTATTCATTAACGCAGTGTGCAGGCATTGTGCAAAACTAACGCAGAATGGAGCAGCACTATGGCCAAAATGAGCACCAAGGAAAGGAAATGAACAAATATCTTTATTGTACATCATATTGAAAGAGTTTGATTAGCGCATACGGTTATAGCTAAACCCTAATTAATTATATATATTTCCATGACAATGTTTTCATTCGTGAGAATATCCATCTTATTTTCGTCGAATCTTAAAACACAATTTTGGATAATTATATTACATTATGGATTTTGATATTCGCTGTACATTAGCAAATCTACTCGTCTCTTGATATACAAGATATATACAGGATATTTGTTTAGTTTAGTGTAAGATCGGAATATATTTCACCGAGTGAGCACCAAAAGGTATATTTCACGAGTGGCGCAGCCAGGAGTGAAATATGAACTTTTGGTGTTCACAAGGTGAAATATATTTCGATCTTACACCAAACTAAACAAATTTTCTTTTTATTTTATGCAAAGAAACGTTTTAAAAAGACATTAAACCTAATACTGAATTAAAAGCGCGCCAAATAATAATACAACGTGACGTCATTTACGACGTCACGTCATTAAGTTGGTTCCCAGTACTGTGCACGCTGGTATTTAAATGAAACAACGTAAAAAGCTTAAATTCAAAACAGTGAAATTATCAAATTGATAAAACAGTGAAATTACCAGTTTTACATCACTAATATTTCTGTAAACCACCGAAAAGCATGTAATTAAAACGGACAAATATTTACTATGTTTTTTTTGTAAGTTCTGTTCAAAAAATTAAATTCTTTACTTGTATTTTAAGGTTTGTTCTTAATGTCACTTGGTAAAAGTGATTATATGTGTATAAACTAAGAGGATATTGAATGAGTCAGGTTCAATACTTTATTTATCATTGAACCTCAAAGAATATAGAAAATACAATATGCTTTTGAACACATATACAAAATTAAATTTGTCTACAGCGAAAACAAATACATGTATTGGGTCGCCTTCAGTGTGACGATAACAATTTGAACGCTGTAAATGTTTTTATTATGCAAATAACGTCATCTTATAAATGTATAGTACTTTCATTAGTATAATATTGTTTTCATCACATTTGTGTGTCGTAAAAAAATATTATGAATAAAATATATACAAACGATCAGATACTTTGTAAGTATCCACAGATGTGTCTCCTTGGCGACATGACTACCTTCTTCGCTTCAGAGCTGTCTTGCAGAATTAAATATTTTCTTTAATAACGAATGTTTTGTTCTGCCTTCAATTTTATTTGATTTCTAGACCATTTATCTACTTGAAAGGTATTGATTTAATCTAAATTGCTGTTTAGATGATCATTGGAAGAAAACCAATCTACTTCATGTTGAAACGGTCCATTTGAACGCTAAAT